CAAATTTTTAAAGTTTATTTTTATAATTACTTAAAATGCTATTCCCGTCACCCCCACTCTTTCAGGATAATCCCACCCACTCTTTAATGATAATGATAATGATAATGATAATGATATTGATATTGACAATGATAATGATAATAAAAGTAAATATTATTTTTGGTATGATATGGTATGTTTTCTAAAGAGCTACGAATTGATGCATTCAATAATAATAAAAACTAATAATATTAATAAACCTTCAATACTGGAAGAAAACTGTGTTCTGAGCAATGAAAAGAGTAATTATTTTCTCCTTCTTTTTCCCTCTCATTTTCCTTCTCCTCCACTCGTTCACCCTTTTTTCCAGAATTTTTCTGTGTTTTGGGGAAATTTTTCCAAACGTGATTTTTTGTATTTGAGTCCTCATCCTTAGTTTTGATGAAGCAGGTTTCCAGAACTTGTATTCCCTTGTCCTGGGTCTCCTTGATCAAAAATAGAGTTTTAGAATACAAATGGTAAGTTAAAAAGCGTTGAACTGACGAAGAAACTTTTTACAAATATTCTGCGGATTTAGTTTTACACGTGAAGTGGTTGTCAAAAACATTATAGGGGACATTGGATTAAACTTAAATAAATATCAATTTAAAAGGGGTTTTTAAATGTTTTACCAATTTATCTCTGTAAAATAAATAAAAAAAAACTTTCCACAGGAGGTGGGGGGGGGAATTCAACCCCCTGGAAAATTGGAAGGGGAGTGGGGAGTATAATCTTAATTCAATCAGATGTACCTGTAAATTGGCGGACACAGTGCTATACCACAGCATTCAGCACCATATTGAGTAGGAGTAAGTGGGGGATCAGAAAATTATTTTATGTCGCCCCTGTACCGTTAACTACTTTCGTTTACAGATACATCAGATTGAAATAAATTTAGAACTAATCCGTTCATAATTTAAAATTATAGAAATCCAATTAAAACCATCAATCTTACGCCAAAAATTCCATGAATTAAGGACGATTTCTTTTATTTCCCCTGTAAACAGGTCATATATCTAATTTGAAGAATTATCATTGTAGAGAAAGTGGGACTGATTTCCGAAAATTGGAGGAATAAAATCAAAAAGTGATTTAATGTAACCATTCCAAAAATACAGAAAAAAATCAAGGGGGTTCGAGGGGGAGTTTTAACAAAATATTTACCAGTGCAGTTTAGACCGTTTACCTGATTAGAGATAGAAAAGGTTGGAGCATGGATCAATATAGTCAAATTCTCAGTCTCCAGAAGGGATCCGACTCTATAGGAAGAGGATTGTCGACTAGGGATTCCATCTGTCAGCTTGTTTGTGGATTGTCGACTAGGGATTCCATCTGTCAATATCTTCAAGAACCACAGTTTTCATTTTCAATAACAAATTATAACTTCATGACTTTACCTTTAAAAAAATTTATTTTTTTGATTAATGGAACCCTATCCATTTCTACAATTTGGTCACTATTTTTATAATCTTAAGTGGTTAAAAAATGGCAAATTACTAATATTAATAACTACCACCAGTATATTTTCAGTAGAAGTATATATTTCCACTTACTGATACCGCCGATTGAAGGATTCATAACTAATTGGATAATGAGATAGATAGAAAGATAGATGTTACCGCCATAATATTTCTATTGGTTCAGAATAGACACAAACACATGACTGAACCCTGAATGGATAAGGCGCTAATGGAGTCGGCTTACAAGAGTGCCACGAATATAATAAAATAAACCCTTTTTCTCAAGTCTTTTAATAGAAAAGATAAATTTTTCCTTTCCGGACTATTAATCAATTCTTTGAATTCCGAGTTTGATAGGATTGATAATGAGGAATCCTTAATTAACTGATAATTAGCCAATATTGATAAATTTAGAAGATAATTGACATTTATAGATTTCTGTAACTTCCAATAGTTGGCAATATTTTCAAGCAATATATACAATCTTACTCAAAAAGGATAAAACTTCAGAGACGACTGTCCGGATTTCCTACTGCTTAATTGTTTCCTTAAATTTAATCTTTTTAAGCCTTTTAAGAAGCCACTTAAAGACAATATTAAAATCAGAAGACTAAATTTAACCCTGGGAATTTCATTCTTTAAAGAGTTTTATGTCGTCTTTTCAGTATCATTCTTCGTGGGTAACCTTTCATAAATATTCACAAATATATTTTTATAACATGTCTTTAAATAAAGTTCTGCGAAAGATCTGAGCCCTCACCTCAAATTCTAATTCTATTGTCCATATTCTTTGCAACCTGATGATCCAATCCTTTGGTATTTCAATCTTTTACTAATTTATTTATCAAATATCATCGTTAAAAATATTATATGCCTATGACTTATCATTGCCAAAATCATTATGTATACAAATTTGGATTACAAGTATACACGTAACACGTTATACCTGTGAACATTCTTACAATGCTTGGTATTTATAAAGTGTAGAATTTATTCTAAAATCATGAAACTTTATTGTAAATTATTCCTCTGGCTTTTATATTCTCTAAAAATGCAGAAAAGCGAATTTTCCGAACGTAGAGAGATTTAGTGAATCGTATTTCTTTAAGAAAACAGGCTAGATTCTAGATATATGTTCACAAAAACATATCTTAAGTATTCCATTTACTCTAAATCCTCCCAAACTTTAGAAAAACACAACATAGTAGCTTTCTTTGTGAGGATGGTTTGCATTAAATAGTGTTTTACTGAGGGAACTTAGCGCTCAACCTTCCAGAGCCCGGGATTTAAAAGAGTATCGTTACACGAAACTCCCGAGTTTCCTTTTTCGGGGTCTTAACATTTGTATAGATTTTGATTTAAGAGATTTAAAAAATGGAAAATATGAAGAAATGGAATAAAATAATATTTCATCACAAAAATATTGATATCCACAAAACTACCTATAACTCCAATCGTAAAACCCGGGTTACAAAACTGGTTTTCATAACGATACCCTGTCTTAAGTTTTGAGATTAGTTAGTAAAGTCGTAACATTTTAAAATTAGTTAAAAACCTTTTTTTGGCTACTTGGTAACATTGTGTCCCCCTTAAAAACCCCTTTTTTAAAAAAAAAATCTTGATATTTTTTTACCTATATTCAGGTAAAATATTCGATCATATACACACTTCCATATTACAAGTCTTAATAAATTATTTATGTAATTTTCCTAAGTGGACTCATCAGACACTCCCTCTTAATACTATAGTGAGCCCCTCCCCCATGCGTGCCCCCGCTCAGGAGGGGGGGGGGAAGCGTAGGGGGGCCCGTGCAACCCGCCCACCCCCTCGCACGCCTCTGGGTTTTCACTATCAAGTTGCAACTATAAAGGTACAAGAAAATTGAAGTTAGTTCGAGTAATACTAATAAGTACCTTTGCTTGGAAGAAACACAATTTGAAATTCTAAACGGACAGAATATATATTTAATATACTAACTTCACAGGTCCCACACAAAATAAGTTAAAAAGTAATATATAAACATATATATATATATCATTTTATAGCGAACATTTTTCTAGCAATAGCTTTTTTGTTTATTTTTTTTGTTACCATGTTTCTCTGTACTTTTAAAACAAAAAAGTATAAACTTTCGTGGAATTCTATTATTAGAAAATTTTTGGAAATTACATAATGTATTTTTTTGGAGGGGGGTTGGGGCCGGGGTTAAAATATATGTTTTATATTTATTTATGCATGTGTGTTGTTAAATGAAGCGACAAATGAGTGTCATTTAAAATAATGTTGAAGAAAACTTTCTTTTATCTAAAGAAAAGAAAGAATAGGATTTAAACTTCTCGAAAAATTCTCATAATTACAAAATACTTTTAAATGACTTTACATTTTCTTTGTATAAACATATATGAAATCGAAGATTTTTAAAAAGGTTTGATTAAAAAGAATGAATTAAAAAAAATAAAAATTGAAAATAATTAAAGGTTAAGAATAAAAATTTAGAAAAGTTGATAAAAGAGTAAGGTCACATTTCTGTTAACAACATTAATTTGCATTTCAACTTTTCTTCATTTCGTTATAATTTTATATTAAAGCATGAAATCTAAAAATAGTAGCAATATGTGAATTTATGTGGACCCTATCGCTCTTGGGTGTAAAACGTTTTAAACCATTTTCTCCTTGTATAAGCAACAGATAAATTTTAAATTATTAGCAATCGATATCGAATTCAATTCGATATCCTAGCTTATAGTTATACCCCCTTATTTTTAGGACGGTTTTACATATGAGAAGTGATGCGAGGCTGCACGAGTCTTGATCTATTAGTGTCAACTTTCAATTTCAATTTCAAACCCGAATTTGTATTTTTGTCTAAATAATTCTAAATTTTAGAAACAACATTTTTTTACAGTGAAACCCTTAATAACGAATACATCGAAAGAATTCATCAAATGTCGTATTTTTCACTTTCTGATAATGAAATGTTGCAGATATTTAGTTTTTTAATTAAATGATTATATGGAACTCTTTAAAACTGTTCCCGCATATTCATGGCTATTTATTTATTTTCGCAAATACTGAAATTTACGTAATATAGTATAAAACTCGTTATTAAGGGTTTCACTGTAGATTTTCGAAGAATGATACCATGTGACCGGCGTGTGATCCCCCATTTATTACCAGAAAAGGATTGTTTTATTTTCTATCCCTGGTCATGAGCAAAATATAATTCGTGCTGATTTTGTTTTATTATTTTTGGTAAGTAGTCCATTCAGGAAAAATATGGGTTTAGATGAAAACCCGTTGATAAAAAGTAACCTTATCTAACTGATAATGAATGTAACATTTTTTCATACTTTTATGAATTGACAGTTTTTCTTTGATAAGCTATATCTGTTCAAGGAAATAAAAAAATTGTGCAAAAAAATTGCTGGCGAATTTCTAATAGCATCTTTGTGTACACAAATTTTACCGCATTGGTGATTTTCACAAATAGATTTATTTTTGGTTTAACCCTTAAATGGTATTGCTTCATTTGCCAAAATTTATGTTTTACCTTTTCTAGTTGAGATGAGGCAGTTATTATCCAACTCAGAGTTTGAACAAATCATCAATTTTGTTCTAGTTGAGCTACTTGGTTCTTCTTCCTAAAATTAGTTTAGTCCTAGTATAGCTACTTGATACCTCTTCGTAAATTTAGTTTAGTTCTAGTGGAGCTACTTGGTTCTTCTTCCTAAATTAGTTTAGTTCTAGTAAAGCTACTTGGTTCTTCTTCCTAAAATTAGTTTAGTTCTAGTGGAGCTATTTGGTTCTTCTTCCTAAATTAGTATAGTTTTAGTGGAGCTACTTGATTCTCTTCTTGGAGAGCTACTTGATTCTCTTCTTAAATTAGTTTAGTTCTAGGAGAGCTACTTAATTCTCTTCTTAAATTTGTTTAGTTCTAGTAGAGCTACTTGATTCTCTTCCTAAAATTAGTTTAGTTCTAGTAGAGCTACTTGATTCTTCTCCCTAAATTAGTTTTGTTCTAGTAGAGCTACTTGGTACTTCTCCCTAAATTAGTTTTGTTCTAGTAGAGCTACTTGGTACTTCTCCCTAAATTAGTTTAGTTCTAGTAGAGCTACTTGGTACTTCTCCCTAAATTAGTTTAGTTCTAGTAGAGCTACTTGGTACTTCTAATTCGCCTTGCAACCAGTCAAAAAAAGAATAAAGAGAAATTAACTCAAAAAACCAAAAAAGTCATTTTCTTTTATTGTCTCTGTATACTGCAGGTGTAATTTTAACACACAATCATAAAAACTCCAGGGCTCAAGAAATATTTGACAAAATGACATTATTATGCTATTAAATGCTCACCACCGATTCAAAGTAAAAGATTAATGATGATGGAAGGAAAGGAATTTGTGATTCAAATTTAAACCGGCGGTAGGCAGTTTAATTAAATTAAATTTGGCCCTAGATTTGATGATAGTAAGAAAAAATTGAGCCTCGTTGACATACGGTGGTAGGCGATTATATCAATGTAATGAAGACGACTTCTCTTTGTAAGTTCTAATCGTTAACAACCTTTTTTCGAATTACAAGTTTATCAGTAGTTAAAGAGAAGCTATTTTAATTGACAGCTTTTCTTTGTTTTAATGTTTTGAGTATCCATGCTGTTTTAAAGCAAGAAATCTAAATTGAAATCGAAATTCGTCTTTATTATATTGATATAATCGCCTACCATCGTAGTTAAACATCTTCTTTAGTGCGCCGGTTTAAGTTAAAGAGGAACCATATTTACTCGATTTAAATACTGCTACGCGATTCAAATACTTCTCCTCGGTTCAAATACTTCTTCTCGATTCAAATACTTCTACTCGGTTCAAATACTTCTTCTCGGTTCAAATACTTCTACTCGGTTCAAATACTTCTACTCGGTTCAAATACTTGTATACTTGTTCAAATTTTTCTACTCGGTTCAAATACCTACTCGGTTCAAATACTTCTACTCAATTTAAGAAACGTTATTATGTCTCTTTTCTCAAAATAACTATAATTTTCATGACATTTTTGTTTCGATTTACAATGATATTTTGCCAATTTTTCAAAAAGCAATTCCAAAATGTTAAAAGAATTTGAAATGCTAATCATTGTTAAAAAAATTGCTAAAGTATTTTTTGCACAATGTCGCGTGTACTTTGTTAGCAGCCGAGCATTATATCAAATGATGCAGTTTTTACGACCTCTTTCCTTAATTACAAAATGAAATATTTGTAGACATAATAACACATTTAGAACAAGCATTGAAATTATTGTTTACAGCTCTTTTTTTATTTACAGTACCCTTTCCCTGCAACTGAAGTTCTGCACCATTTTTACAAAAATGTAACTTTAAACCAATTCTTTTTAAATGGATTTAATTAATTTAATAAAAACTAAATAAACCCCCTGGGGTTGAAACAACAATATACAGGACAAAACATTATATGTTTGTTTTCTTTAAAATCCTGCCAGCTACTGGTTTCCAACCACCTCTTTTCATTCCTCATTTTTCCTTATTTTAAAGTAAAAATAAACCTAAATATTAAATAACGTGGAACATTATGAAAATCAATAAACAACGAAAACTGTTTATTTTAACCTGTTAAATTATTCTTTAAAACGGTCGTTACGCCACAAGCGTTCGCTCGCAAAAAGTTCGAAAATTTTTGAAATTTTCTTGAATTTTCACTTTATTCTGTTTCGCGAAAAGATTCGGAATTTTCGCGAAAAAATGCTAAATTCCATAAAAAAAATTGTGAAAATTCCACAAAAAAGACTAAAGAAGAAGAAGAGATTTGATGATTGGCTACAACAACAGCAAAGACGCAAAGTGATTCAAAGGTTGCAAGATTTCACACAAAAATCAATGAGAATTTTGCATATTACTTCCTAAAACCTAAAGCTAAAACAAGTGCTTTATAGATCTAAAATGAACATGTATTAAGACAAAAGTATTAGTGACTCAGAAGGTAAAATCTAGGACCAAGGTGTGCGACACTTGAGGTCGACCCAGTCTTAATAATTGATGCAATTTTTATATAGGTGGCTGACCCACTCATAAAGCCTGATTAAACTAACCTGGATAACATGACAGGACATATCCATCTCCCCTCTTCCTTTCCTCTTATACTTGTCCCCTTCCTTCTGATCTTGTCCTCCTAAAGGGATTATTTTTAAAAAGTTCTCTAGTGGACTGTAAGTGTTATTTCAAGTAACCCTCTTTGTCCGTTTTACAACGGTAGCCTTAAAGGGAGTGACAGGCAATGTATGGTAATTGAACTGAGAATGTAGTATTGTGGAGAATTTTTTTAGGATTCATTTGAGACATATAAAACGTTTTAATGATGTATAATTACTGAGTTTGAGCACAAAGTCGACGTTCAAAATAATCCATTTTGGTGATTACGTTTTCAGAATCGATTTTTAAAAATTATTAGTATTTTTTTACATTATATACATCAGTTACACGTTTTAATTGTCTCAAATGAATCCTAAAAAATTTCATTAATGCTGCATTCTTAGTTCAACTACTATAAATTGCCGATCACTCCCTTTAATTAAGTTTTAATCAGAACTCGGTGTTTTATTTCTTTTTTTTAACAGTATCTTTTCATTTGTGTTTTCTCTGCAAAAGTGACTTGCGTACTTCTTGCTTTAAAGAAACAATGAAGAAATGATTAGAAATAAGCACTTTTCAAGTCAGAAAAATGATGTCATATTCCGCATTTTTAATCAGATTAAGATTTTAATGGTACTGTTGTAGACATTGACATCTTTACAGTTCACATGAACGGTCACTAGAAATCTTTAATTAATACAATTCTGCAAAAAAATCTGAATAGTTATTTTTTTATCATAGGACAAAAGAAACTATACAAGACTAATACTGAATATCAACATAATATGTTGTAAACAAACACAATTATTCTGTCTGTTTTCTAATTTGTTATTATATTACTTTTCTTTATTATGTTTTTACAACACAAAAAGTTACATATTTATGTATATTCATATTTGCTGTGTCTGTTTTTCCGTATAACGAAAACCATCTTCAGCCAAAATGTATCTTTTTTTATGAATTTAGCTCTCAACTTGAAAAATGTAAGATTTCCTTAAATATATGCACGATATGAGAAAAATTATTTTTAAAAAAAGTTTCGATTTGACGTTTTTGTTACCTTTTTTTTTAATCGGAGTCGGAGACAAGAACGAGGGGTTGCCGAAATTGTATAACTTTCAAAACCATGTTTTATTATTTAATATGTATTTTATGTCTTTTATTATACCTGTAAACGATCGGAAGCTTTTATTATCTAAAAGTCTCATGCCACTAAATCAAGCAAGGATAAAATAGTTTTCAAATAAAAAATAGAAAACCTCAGGTCTAAAATAATTTGGAATCATGAAGTGTTCAGTTAGGGATTAAAGTTTAGACAGGGCTGCATGTAATCGTGAAAATCATATATGACGTTTTACAATGACACCATGCGGAAAAATTCTTAACTAAACCAATTTTAAAATCTGCTGAAATCCTCGTGTTCCTTAGTGAAGTTCTATTTGAAGGATTGAATGAGGACATCTCAATGTTTGCGTCTGTGTCCAGGGTTCTATTCAAAGTTGACCGGAATGTGTAGGTTCTAGACACTCCTGCCAATCAATTAATCAAACGTGTTTTGTGAAATTTAGTTCAGGAGGAAACCGTAGATGTTTTAAATCTTTAAAAACATCTGAATAATATCCCCCCCTCCCCCCCCCAAAGTTGATTAAATCCTATTTATATATTTGAATAATTAATCTTTTGAGTTTTAATTTCCTGAAATTTAAACTGAATGTATACTATTGAAAAAGTATCTTATATCTCCAGTTTCAAAGCCTTACAAAAGCAATTTAAATTTTTGACTTTTTTAAATAAAAATGTTAGAACCAGTCTCAAAATGAATAAACACACTTTGTTTTCCTGTGGTGTTGGGGGTTCCACATAGAGTTGCTTTAAATGCGTGCCTGAAAAATAGTTTTTGTTTGTAATTTGATCTAATAAACACATCTCACATTTGGTGTACAGTCTCGTTTTGCCGTATTTAGCCTGAGAGTGTACTGTACACAGTACATCTTAATCTAGCTGCTTAAAATTTGGACCTGTACAAGAAATTAACCGGTATGTAGCAAGTTGTTGACTTTAAAAGTCACTATAGTAAAATAAAGAGATCTAAAATGGATATTTCTAACATTTATTTAAAAAAACGAAAGTTTTGAAATATTTGCACATAAAGCGGAGTTAAAATTGGTTGATTTAGAAATTAACAAAGGAGTTAATGATGGATATTTGATGGCACTTCATGGGAGTGTTGTAGAGCTTCATGTTGGTGGAGCAGATCAACAGGAACTGGGACAACAGGGCTTATCAATGGAACTCTGGCAATGCAACTCGAGATAGCGGAAACTTCGGTCGGAGCCGGGCACAAGTTTCCTAAGTAAGCTTCTCAAGAAGTTAATAGGGAGATCAGAGGTATAAGCACGCCTGCTGTTAGCTCATTATCTGCATCATCAGCATGAAGAAGTCAAGAGGCTCCCTGTGTCGGGCGGGGAACGAAGGAGCGAGGGTTACATGTATGTGCTTCATGGCGGAAATGGATTGTGTGTATACACACATCTTGAGAAATGTTGACGGCAATTGAGTCGGTAAAATCGTCTTCCTTATATTTTGAATTTGTGTTAACACAAGTATGTAGACACCAGACAGTGTCAAGTTGAAGTGTAGAAGACTTAAGTAAGTTCAGTAACATTTATTTAACATTAGGATGGTCTTATGTTAGCAATTGGTTAATTTGTTTCTTTGTAGTTTTACACATAGGCGTCACAACAGCATAATTATAGTTTATAATGTATAAAAAAGTATGAGCACAGCCTTGAAGGATATAATGGAACATTGAAAAGCTACATAATTATTAATAAAAAGAGGGACCTGAAGCGGCCTGAGAGCCCATCAAGGGCGTACACAGAAATAAATTTAGGGGGGAACAAATTTGTGCAAAGCTAAATTCCCCCCCTCCCATAGGAGCTCCTAGGGGGAGGGGGGGGGGGAAATTTGAACTGTAAATTCAAAACATTTGGCTTCTTGGATACTTTAAAGATACAAATCCAGTCCAATTACCTTGCAGGTACTACTTTATCTCTCCTTCAAACAAAACCAGCAGAAAAAACAGCAAACTAATTTTTTTATGCTCTTAACTCTTCAGTTTCAGATTTGAAAAGCTCTGAGTTCTAGGGAGGGCACTGCCCCCTTTTCCCCACCCCACCCCCTGAGTACGCTTTTGGAGCTCATAGTAATATGAATATTGGAAAGAATTGAAACATCTGTAATATCAAATTGTCTAGAATATTTTCTCATATTTCATCCAAACATTTTGGTGGAAGCCTAGACAATCATAATGTTAATCGTTCAGAACACTTTTCATATTTCACTTTTTTTAGAAGTTGTTTACGTGAACCCCAAAATTGTAATTAGCCATTTTCTAAATAAATTTTCAATTCTTTTAATCACAAAATATTTAGTAATAATCAGAACTTAAAAATAATATTGTTTTTCAAAAATTCAAAGTTTTATAAAAGTTTGATAAGACAATTACACTTCAGAGAAATTAAAACAATGGCCATGCAACAAAATTCTTTATAAATGAAAGCTGAGTCTTTGCAGCGTGATGGTGATATGTCAAGCTTTGACTTCTTTATCTAACAGAATTCATGGTTTCAAATATCTTCGACATTGGGTGATTAAAAATCAGAGTTTGTGTGAAAAACTCAATTTCTGTACTGTAAAACAAAAAATAAAAGTTGAAAAAAATGAAATGGAACGTGTTCGAGGCTGAGCATGAAGGCTCACCAAATATACTTCAAAAAAATGTAAGAGCATTATTTGGGCTTTAACACTTTTGAATAGGTTTTCTAATCTGAATTGAGCCCGGTTTCGATAAGATATTGATTTTTTTTAAAAATAGCTACATTACATAATAAATTCTTTATCTCTAATAAGAAAAACAAAGTTTTTTTTTCCATTTTATTGCGTTCGTGTTATAAAAACTCCTCGGTAGCTTCATCAGATTGAAAAAAAATAATATTTTTTTATTTTCAACATTTAAGTCAAAACAGCAGTATTAACATTGTTATATATTATTGTATTAACATATTGCGTTCGGTGTGAAAATACTTTCATTTTAATTTTAAACAAACTAGAAAAGGTGAAAATCCCGGCAAAAACTGTTTCGCACTTAATAATATCCATTACAATGACATAAATAGATAAAATAGTCTTTTTAAAATTATATGGAAGATTTAGATAATTGTATTGCAATATTTTTTTTTGTCTAACTGCACAGCCTCACAGGCAGCAGGCGGTTGGCTCTATTAATAGATGATGATGAATATAAATTGTATAGATTTAAAGGCTGAAGATCAAAAGTCAATTGAAATTGTTTAAAATAGAATGTTAAATGTTAAACTGCGTTTCAGTCTTTTCAAAAGCATTTGAAAGCAATTCAAACGCTTAATCAACGGGCAGCCGTAGACCATAGTATATTTGAATTTCCTTTCCGAGCCGGGTCAACCTTTCCGGTACAACTCAATAGGACTAGCCGGTGCAACAATGTTGACGCGGTCAGACTTTAGGTTGAATTTACGTTTACTAAGGGGTCAGAGGTGCGTGCATAGATAAAGCTAGATTGCGCATAAGACGACATTTTTCATCTTGAAAGATATAAATGTACAGAGATGTTAAAAGATATTCCTATCATATAGATTAACTAGGTCGGTTGTGAACATTGGCTGTTCTTATGTCATTGAGTACTTGTGGTGTACATGAGTTCTGTAGAGAGATATTTAAGTTAGTTTAGTCCTTCTCATGTCCTTTTTCAGTTTTCGTCAATATGATATATTGCTCAGTGATATATTTTTGTTCAAATAGTTCCATTCCCGGAGTTATTTTACACTCTATTATGAAATCCATTAAAACACCAAACCGCCCCGCTTATCATTGAAGTACACTTAGAAGTATGAGTTCGCGGACTGTACAATTCTTGGTGATTTTGCGTACATAAGCTATCTATGTTTATTTATTTATCTATGGGTTTGTGGATCGATTACATCTATTTATATAGTTATATTTATAGTATTTATGTAGACTCTGAAGTCTCAATTAACATATATATTGCGGTTGCAACACCAAAGTTAAATAAAAAAAATTGACCATTCATCTCCGATATAAAGTATGTTGTATATCCATTTATTTTCTTCAAAACGAATTTTCTTTTTAAAAGAATTAAAGTAATCTGCAGAATGTTTATAGAATAAAATTAGAAAAAATATTTAGATCTTAAGATATTTAATTTGAAAAAACAATAAAATATTCACCTATACTTCAGACTCATCACATTGTAAAGAACTGGATTCACTGTCGCGCTAAAATATATTTAATTAATATTTACAAATCATAAACTTTACAAGACCAAACTTTAAAAGTGTTAGAACAGATATGGAAGCAAAGTCATAAATATATATTTGAAAATTTCCATCTTCGGTATCTTATGTATTCGATGCTTCAACAAAGTGCTACAGTTTTTCAAAAATATATAACCACATTTTCAACACAGTGTCCACTTTTAAAAGGGAACACTTAGATTTTGCCTCTTTAACATCCAATTTTCTATCAAATCCAATTTTTCAATGGATTATTTTATTTTTCACGGATTATCCAATTTTTAAATAAAGTATAAACTTTTGATTTAACGCAGTGACTCTGTAACAGAACATCCAATATAAGTTATAACAAAGTTAAGAAAACAGATGATCCAATTTGTCATGTGAGTATTAAATTTTCAACAGTGTATCAAACTTTCTAAAGATTTATCCATTTTTTTTGAAGAGTATTGCAAATTTTCAATATTAAATTCTCGATGCTTCGTGTTTCTCTCTTAACTTCTTGAATCCTGAAGTACCTGAAGTACCTGAAGTACCTGAAGTACCTGAACTACCTGAAGTACCTGAAGACAATATTTAAAAATTCTCTCTCCTCCTGGTGAGATATTTAGAGGAGGAGCATACAAAACTTAGATTTAAGGAGGAACACGATTGAAATGCTTAAAAACGTTATTTCTAATAAATGTTCACCATTATTTTTCACTATTATTATCAGTGACAAAGGAATTGAGTTTTTACCACAAACTCTGAATTTCTTACAAATATATATAGCTCTGCAACCTAGTGTCAGAGACATTTGATAGTTCAAACTCTAAATTCTTTTAAATAAGATAATCTGAGTTTAAAATATCTTTGACATTGAGTTGCAAAGAAATGTATGTGGGATATAAAAATCTGAGTTTGTGGCAAAGACTCAATTTCTTTCCGGGAATTAGCGCTATCGCCAGGGATTTAGTACAAATTCTACCCGCTTCTGGGGGAAAATGTAATGAGAAACCTTGATGATACAATCATAAAACCTCTCCCTGCACTCTGAGAAGATTTTAAAAACATGTGTTCTACTGACCTAAAGTAGTAGAAAACATGTGTTCTACTGACCTAAAGTAGTAGAAAAACCCCGAAATATAGAACAGATATTCGTTCACCAGACCGAAGGTCCTAAAACAAAAGAATAATTTTTTTTTTTTTACAATTAACTGTCACTTTTCACATTTTTGGGGACACAAAAAAGTGCGGTTGCTTATTAAAATACAAGACTTTTAAAACTGTGGAAAACCTGGTGCTGTTAGGCTCAAGTTATAATCTGTGAAAAAACTGGCGCTGTTAGGCTCAAGTTATAATCTGTGGAAAACCTGGTGCTGTTAGGCTCAAGTTATAATGAAAAAAGTCCAATGGATCATAAAACCTCAACTTTTCAGTGTACACCGTCCACTGTAAACTGTACACTGCACACATGTACACTGTACACTGTACAAAACCCATTTTACGTCAGAAGTGGATTTACTAGCTAATACTGTTTTTATTTAAAATACACATAAGATTGTTGAAATGTCGTCTTCATATTCCAAAGGTTTATGGGTCTCCTGTACTACCTTGTATGTTTAAAATAAACATAACCAAGACGTTGAGCGTGGAACGGGGCCCAGCAAAGGAAAAACGCAACCACCACTGCAACTGAAATATTTATTTATGAATTATTAATGTTATGAATTGATTATGATTAATTTTTTTGTGTAAAATGCCAATCCACATGATGGTTAGATCCTAAACCAAATTACACAATTATGTAAATGAGGTCACTGACCTCCTTTTATCCATTTTTCTGGATTTACGTCAGAAGGAAGGTCTGTTTTTATAAAGTTCACTGACCTCAGATGCTAAACAGGTTCTTAAGTCGAAGAAGTGACAAAAAATGAAGGCTAAGAAATATTTATGTCACACGATTTAATCTTTAGGGCTAAACTCATGCTCCGGCATAAATTGCCGTAAAACAAAGTCTAATTGCTTATTTCCCATGATTAAATCTGAAAGACTGCTATTCTTTTCTGAAATGCAGTTTTTAATGCTATTCTGATTCGTGGGACTATTCTATAGAAAATGGGGAAAACATTGGTGTTTGTTAAAATTAACACATTTTTGTGTATTTGAGAGTGGGAAACTCTACTGTCGTAATCGTTTTCAAAAAATAACATCATCTTTATTTCCGAAATTCAGACATTTTTTTAAAATTAAAACCATATTTCTCTAGTGAATGTAAAACCCTTTCAATGCTTCTGAACATCTTACAAACTTTCTGAACGATTTAAATTATGCAAAATTGCTGTAATTTTGGCAATTTTTAAAATTTAGTCTAAATAAATGTTAGAAACTAATTGTTTGCAGCACATGTTGCACTTGTTACACACATTAATAAAAAAGACTGTTTACAGCATTTTCTTATGGGTTTATGGTGCTTGTTGACTTGTGTTAGTTAACTGAAAAAATGCGCGAGTTTAAAATTAGTTTGAATTTAACCCGTTTACCTTTTCCAGAATCCGGGAAAAATTTCAACTAACATTAACATATTTCAGAACATGATTACTGACAGAGATTTAGAACTTATCAGCTGTTTAATTCGTTATATACATTATTCACGTAGGAGCAGCGCAACCAATATATATATTTCTGATTTCATGATGTATTAATTTGTTAAAGAGGACATTTGTTAATTTATATCGCAAAATAAAAACATTTTAATGCATTGAAATATCGCAAAACTTACGTTTTTCCATGGTTTTTTACTAGGCTTTTAGGGCGCTTCGCGCCCATCTTCTATTTAAATTGTGAACATGTTCTTTTTGTTTACATTTTAAAACAAAGAAAAAAATTTTGCGGATTTTTAAAAAAAAATTCGCGGATTTTCAAGAATTTAAATTTTTTTACAAAATTGAAAACCTTTAAAACACATTTTTTAAAAATTTTTATCATTCATAAACCTTCCCCGTCGTCACGTGATGTCCCACAAAAATTTGGGCCCGATCGGTTTAGCCGTTTTGACGTTTATTGGATACAAACAAACAAACAGACACACAGACAGACGAGCCAAATTTATATATAGATTTAAATCGACGAATTAAATATTTAAGCTATAGCCCAAAGCATGGTTTCTATTTAGGCTGACGTCAAATTTACCCCAAATAGTCTATTTCCTTTATGAGATATAAATTTATAACATTTGATACACTTATAGAAAGCCATTGGGCTCTACCAAAATCAGAATGTTCGTGGTATATGATCTATTTAAGGACTTAGCTTATAGGCAATAGGTGTGATGAGGATGATGAGAAGGATGATGAAGAAAATGATGATGATGAGAATGAGGATGAGGAGAATGAGAATGAGGAGAATGAGGATAAGGATGAGGAAAATGAGGATGAGGAGAATGTGGATGAGGAGAATGAGGATGAGGAGAATGAGGATGAGGAGAATGAGGATGGGGAGAATGAGGATGAGGAGAATGAGGATGAGGAGAATGGGAATGAGGATGAGGAGAATGAGGATGGGGAGAATGGGGATGAGGAGAATGAGGATGAGGAGAATGGGGATGAGGAGAATAGGGATGAGGAGAATGAGGATTATGAGAAGGAGGATGAAGAAAATGAAGATGAGTAAAATGAGGATGAGGAGAATTAGGATGAGGAGAATGAGGTGAGGAGAATGAGGATGAGGATGAGGAAATGAGGATGAGGAGAATGTAGATGAGGAGAATGAGGAGAATGAGGGTGAGGAGAATGAGGATGAGGAGAATGAAGATGAGGAGAATTAGGATGAGGAGAATGGGGATGAGGAGGGATGTGGATGAAGAGAATGAGGATGAGGATGAGAAAAATGAGGATGAGGAAAATGTGGATGAGGAGAATGAGAATGAGTAGAATAAGGATGAGGAGAATGAGGATGAGGAGAATAAGAATGAAGAGAATGAGCATGAGGAGAATGAGGAGAATGAGAATGAGGAGAATGAGAATGAGGAGAATGAGAATGAGGAGAATGAGAATGAGGAGGATGATAATGAGGAGAATGAGAATGATAATGAGGAAAATGAGAATAAGGAGAATGAGGAGAATGAGATTGAGGATAATGAGAATGAGCCTTGAGGAAATGAGAATGGGGAAAATGAGGATCAGGAGAATAAAGATGAGGAGAATGAGAATGAGGTGTGGAGAATAAAGATGAGGAGAATGAAAATGAGGATGAGGAGAATGAGAAGGAGGAGAATGAGGATGATCGTTAAAAAAATAAATAATTTGAAAAACGTCAGACCAATACTTTTTTGAGTTATGTCCAATAAACATTATAATGGACCCCCACCCAGCTGAAAAAGAGTTAAGCTGTAACTTTTAGTTCTTTAGTTTGAGACTCTTTGCAAGTTTGATATTGGATTGAGGTTGAAGTAAATTTAATTTAAATATACCATTTTATTTTCATTTCCAAGAAAAGTTCCCTAGAGGGCAGTTTCTGGAATTTTACGAACACATGAGAACACAGTAGACAGGAAATAGAGAATGTCAAAGTGATAAAAATACAAAATAGAATTTTTTCCCACAAATTTAAACACTTTTTCCCTTCAGTCATCCATCTAGTTTTATCAATGTGTGCATTAGTGTTTATTTCGTCTAATTCTAGCCTAATTCAAGTGTAATTCTAGTTTCATTCTAGTATAATTCTAGTCTAATTCTAGTCTAATTCTAGTCTAATTCTAGTCTAATTCTAGTCTAATTCTAGTCTTTATTCTAGTCAAATTCTAGTCTAATTCTAGTCTAATTCTAGTCTTTATTCTAGTCTAATTCTAGTCTAATTCTAGTCTAATTCTAGTCTAATTCTAGTCTAATTCTAGTCTAATGTTATATTATGCTAGTCCATGGTTGTATGTAACAACAAAAATAGGATTATTTCCATTAAATGGAGAGAAAAGATCCCTAGGGATGATTCTGACATGTGTGGCTCCTTTAGACTGCAGACAAATAATTAATTAAGCATAAAACATTCAGAATAAATATTACTTAAGAAGAGAAAAATATGTTTGGGCTAATCATTAATTTTGATCTGTACCAACTTCTTCTACTAAAAATAAATACAGGACCGGCATAAAGGGCCGGTCGACGAAATTTGAAGTGAACTGCTAAATAGAAGAAGTGCATACATGATTCACAATGGTACCATATTCTCTTTTGTCTGTAAAAAGTGAAAATATCCTTCTCATCTAGTGAAGAGCTAAAGGGTTGTGAATGATATGAAACTGCACTTTAAATTACGACTCACTTAAAGCTCCGCCAACAGAGTAAAATTGAAAATGCTGTTGGGAAAGGATAGATATCCAAGTATCCATATTAACTATTAGATATCCAAGTACCCATGTTAACTATTAGATATCCAAGTATCCATATTAACTATTAGATATCCAAGTACCCATATTAACTATTAGATATCCAAGTATCCATATTAACTATTAGATATCCAAGTACCCATATTAACTATTAGATATCCAAGTATCCATATCAACTATTAGATGTCCAAGTATCCATATTAACTATTATCTTCTAGGTTCGATGACGGACAATATCATTGTAATAATGTTTGTTAGAACGCAATTGAATGTTAGAGTGATATTTATCAGTTTTCATCAAAAGAAGGAGTACTTCAAAGAATCGTTTTAATTTTTAAAAGTAAAATTGAAGAATAATTCTAAAATTAAGTTAGATACCCTTATAAAAAAATTAATGGAAAGACGTGAATCCAATGTCAAGAACTTTATAATTTCATCCAATTTTTCTCCCATTATTTTTACTAAAATTAACTTGTTTATGATGCATTAGAGAGACTATCCATGTAATTTCAAGTGGTCTTACATTAAAAAGAGGCCCTATTCAGATAGATAACTTCAAACCTTATTCTTAAATCATTATTTTGGAAAATATTGTCATTTTTCCATTAACTTATAGAGCAACCAACAACAAAATTTTCAAAGAGAGAAACATGGATAGCTCATTCATTCTTGATGAGACAAAGGTTTTAAGGTACCGTTGTGATTCGGACATACCATTTAATAAATGGAGATTCACCTTGAAATGTTGTTAACATTCCCTTTAACTACTCCTTTAATAGATACAGATAAATATGATCCTTACATTGTTTTTGATATTTGATTTAAATATATCTATATTCTATATATACTAGGCTAGTTTTAGGGCGGTTTTTTTCTTTCGAATTTACGCATTTTTCTGAAAAAAATCCAACTATCTTCTAGGGTCATGTAAGGTCCCATACTAATTTTTTTCCCGACAAGCACCTGCAGACAAGCAAAGTATATTTATAGATAGATAGCACTATTAAAAACATGCAAAAAAAGAGGGGGGCATTGTTTTTGAATTAATTTCAAAACATTTAAAGTTTTTTATGTTAGACTTTCTGAGATATTCAATATTCATACTATTCACAACTCAGGAACCCCTTGAACGATTTGCCTCAAATTTTGATTTGGAAAATCGGCAAAACCATAGGAATGTGTTCAGTCTATTTTAATATTTCTAGCTTGTGTCGGTTGACCTTTGACGCGAACATTTAGTTTCCGGGCAAAACCGGGTTCCCAAGCTAGGGCTATTTCAGTTAGTTTTTATTACATTATGCCAAAAAATATGAGAAAGCTAGGTAAAATCGTTTTAATAAATCGTAAATAAATGTAAAAGATCTTTGTCAGATTGAGCATTTTTTACAAACAAAAAAACAAAGCAGTAATATTCAACATCTTGGCTTGTAAACGTTTTTTTATTAATTAGGTGGGGATGATACCCAAAACATATATATGTAAACAATACATTTTTTTCCATGTAACATCATAATTGCATATCTATTGTTACTACTATGAAATTAAGCAAAAACTTAGATTCTGAAAAATCTAAAAAAATTAATTTTAAAAAATGCAGCTTAAAAAAATTGCCCCTCTTTATCTTTTGGAATGCAGAACAACATTATGTAATTATTGTTTACGATTACTTTTAAGGTAAACTTAGGGAAACTTAGGGTAATACCGACACTATTTTAATTACTAATATAAAGCAGCCAAGAAAATTATTTAAATCTAAAACATTTTTTTTCCATTTAAAAAAAATAAGCCAAATTAAATCGATTTATGTATGAGAAAGAAAAAAGAAATTGTTACATCACCCCGCCCCCCCCAACCAAAACCCCCGGCCGTTTTGACGTAAGAGGTATTTTTCTGCCGATTGTCGGCCGATTTTTAATGCTGAGCACTTATTCAAATAATATACATACATATTCTTATAATGAAACGTCCGTGGCGCACATTATATGCAATGTAACTTCTAAATATTTCTGATATGTTTAAAAGCTGAGTAAATGATATGAAATATTACCTAGCATCCTGAGCACCATATCCTTAGACCTGTTAAGTGTAGTGGCCCCATGGACCCTGGAATCCCGGGTCCGCGCTAAACTTGTCTCGTGTAAACTCAAACCCATCCTTAATATTAAACTTTATTTAATTTTAGTTGGATATCGTATATCTCTAAATATAAACTTGTAATCTCTGTTTGTCTGTCTGTTTGTTTGTCCGATCATAACTCAGGAACCCCTGGGCCGATTTGCCTTAAATTTTTATTGGGGAAAGCGGGAGAACCACGGGAATGTTCTTTGTCTGGTTTTGAGCTTCTCAATTTAGTGGGTCGACTTTAATAGCGAAAATTTAGTTTCCCGGTAAAATCGTGCAAGTGCGGATAAACGGGGGGTAACTTAAAGTAATCTTGGAAGCGCTGGGTTCCCAAGCTAATATGTTTATAAAGTTATAATCCCTGTTCGTTTGTTTGTCCGATCGTATCTCAGAAACCCCTTGACCGATTTGCCTCAACCACGGGAATTTTCTTGATTTTGAGATACTAAATAAGGTGGGCCGGCTTTTTATCAGGGAAAAATAGCTAAAATCGTAATTAACAACCAACTAAGTGCGGGTCGTTTGACGGGAGTAACTACAAGTACCCTGGGCAGCGCTGGGTTCCCAAGCTAGACTCTTATATTTTCTTTTATATTTTTTACAGCTACTTTGTGAAGAACTATTCTTGGATCATATCAGGAAGATGATATGTAAATAATAAATCAAATTACCCTCAATTTATCGTTGGCATGTTGGATTCTCAAGTTCCCTTTAAACCATTAAAATTCTGCACAAAATGAACTTCTTCCTTTATGATACAATTTGATTAAGTACTCTTAAATCTATGTAGATAAGCTTACCAGAAACAAATACACTTCAGAGACGACTGTACAGAATTTATATTATCTTTTCCTTGAAGCTGTTAACTTCTTACTTTCTTTGTCAAATAGTAAAATACATCATTAAAAACTGCATTAAAAAGTAAAAGGCCAGTTCAATAAAATCATCACATTTAAAAAGTTCCAGGTCGTTCTTACAGTCTCATCCTTTGCAGGTAACCCTGAATGTATACTTAAAGTGTTATAACCTTGTCTGTTTTTGTTCTCAATAAACATCAAAATGGACAAATTATTAGGCCATCAAAAATATGGGGGCCGATTAAGAACACTATTTAGCAATTTGAAAAATCATCACAAAAAAGTTCGCTCAGATAAAAGCATATTAAAAAAATGGAAATTATTGTTAGAAAGCTAGAGAGATAATTTACTTTTACTAGATGACAAGGATGCTAATGGAAGACGTAATAAAAAATATGTTACCTTCCAAGAAACACTTTATATCTCATGTACTTTCATAGTGATAAACGGAGAAAGGTTAGAGTAGTGATAAAGCATCTTTTCAAACAAAGGAAGTGAGAAGAAATAAGAACCTGCAGATTAAAAGAAAAATGACCATATTTGACATTTGATTTTACAAAAAAATGTTAAATTGTTTTGAATGTTTTATATGGAAACGTGGTTTTTCTCATAATTGTGTTTAAAATCAAAACTAAAGAAGCTACAAGGTCACAAAGTTGTACTAGAAGTGTCACATACATTTTACCTTTTCTTTCTGTCTACGTTGAAGTTAATAATAAGTTAATAAGTTAATAATGATAATGGCACAATGAATGTCGTCGATGAAATATTTCCGCCTAAAATACCGTGTTAACCTAGAAAATTAGACCTTGATATTCAAAAATGTGCTCGGTCATATTTCCGAATATATTGCCTTTTCTCTCGTTAAAAAGTGTTGCTAGAAGGCTCAATGCCCATAAAAACACTTTTTACAGAGATAGAGATATCTATTTATCGGATGAAATCCAAATATCTGCGAAAAAAAAATGTTTAAATAAAATAATTTTGTTTACAGCAGTAACCATAAAAATTTGGAAAAGAAAACGACCATTAAACTCGAAACTTATAATTTTTGATGGATCGTATATGTTCGACAGCTGTCTTGCCCAAAGAGAATAGAATATATATTAGAGGGAAATTTACTAGAAAAAAGTGTAAAACGACCATTTTGTTGTACTGTTTCATATTTGACCAATGATCATTTAACTTAAGACTCTATGCCTTTCAATTTACAAACGATGATTTTCCGTTATAACTATAAATCAAATGATGTCTTTTATTATAAAGTTTATTTAACAGCTTTAAAAAATTCGAAATCGAAATAGATAGTCTAGGGAACATACTGTATTAATGTACTCTACTGCATATAATTTGTGAACATTTACATGATTTGTACACTTTGAACTCCCTTGAAAGGGACTGAAAAAGTTCATACCGAGAGATTCTTTAAATTCCCCTCTAACATACATTCTATTCTCTTTGGTCTTGCCATTGTACACAGATACCCATCAACTTATTAATTTGATATTTAAGCTACTGGTAAAACTGTAGCAACATCAGATACACGCCAAACTACATGTCGTCGTCCTATTCCTAAGTTTTATGGGTACTAAAAATACACCATCAATAAATATAAAAAGGATTTCAACTGTAACTTCAGTTAAAATGAAAATCACTCCTCCAGAAAATAAGGTTTCCTATTGCAGAAATCCACCAATTGTATCACAAAAGAAAAACGTTACATTTTGACGTTTGGTATCTTTCCTTTCAGAAAGATTACGGAATTTTCCCAAACATTGTCCCAAAAATATCAGGGAAAATATTCATCAGACTCATGCGGCATCTTGAGAACAAAATTGAAAATTATTTTCTTGCGATTATTTCTAAACATTTTGCATGTTTTATTTTGCAAAACTTTTCTCCGCATTATGCTCAATAAAAAACAACATAGAAACTGAATACTTGCTACAATCTCTAATATTCCCATTCCTATACCTTTGCAACCTAATGTGGTAAACCTTCTATATTCTGAACGAATATATGTAAGAAAGTCACAGTCTCTGAAAAATTAAACCTGGAAATAAAAAACTTTGGTAAAAAAAGTCCCAATTTTTTGAAGTCCTGGGACATAATGTCACGGAATTAAAGTCTAGAGTTTTTATTTCTGGGACTTTTTTCCCTAAAATAGTATGGGGGCTGCCAATAAAGGAAATAAAATCCTGAAGCAAATATATCCGAAGAAAAAAAAACCAAGAAAAAGAGTCCTAAGCCTTGCAAAAATTAGGTCAATTTCTTAAATGGACTGTAAGTGTAAATTCAACTTACCCTCCATGCAAAGATGGCATTGCCAGATTCATAACGGTACCCTTATATATCGTAATTGCTATCTTTGCTGGAGGGTGTCACTTGAAATTACGCTTACAGTCCCTTGAACAGACAAATTCTAAAAATTCATATTTTAAATCAAGTAATCCTTAATATGTTGATCTTCAAATTTCCTAATTTTGAAAGAGTCATATTTGTACACCCTTTTCTCTTTATTATATGAAATACGTAGCAAGACATTAAAAGTTTTTTGTTCAACAATTTTCTTGAAAATCCCCGTTGAATGTTGTTAAAACTTTTATTTTCAGGGATATTGTTTAGTCGTCTTCGGAAATAGATAAATAACAGACTACAAAGACTGCTTATCTCCTTTCACAGGGTGGGCTACGTAGGCCTTAGTTGACCCGGCACGGCATGCTACGTTTTACGATAAGTTTTTAGAGTGCCATCTCACGGACACTTGTTGAACCTAATACCCATTCAGGAGTTAAGTTTTACAACTTGGATGACCACTGTAGTCAAACGGTGGTCGAGTAACGAGTGACTAAAAGACTATGAATAATAATGTAAACCCCGGGAAACGCCGGGTACTCCAGCTATTGTCCTATATTTCTAGATATATTAGATAATATACAGTGGTATGCGATTATATCAAAACAATGAAGACGACTTTCGATTTTAATTATATCAAGCTTTTGAACAACATGGATGCACATAAACATGGAAACAAAGATAAGCTGTCGATCAAAAAAGATTCTCTTTTATTACATTTAAACTTGTAACTCGAGAAAATCTTGTAAACAATCAGAACTTAAAAAAAGTCGTCTTCTTTGTATTGATAAAATCGCAGCTAGCACTTTAAGAAAAATAAGGTGACCGAGAATTCCACTCTTTTTTGGTTCTCACTGGTTCTCCAGGGTTAATATATTCATTCGTAATAGTCTCTGCATTTTAGCCGTAATTTTGTGTAGAATACTTTTTATAACTTTTTTATATGAATTATGATCAAGTAAATGTTTTAAAAAATAGTTTGTTAGACTAGGTATATTAGATAATTTGGGGTTTCATGGAAATTTTTAAAATATAGGTTTAGAAATAATTTTACGACATATTTTATTTTCCTATTTTTATATTTCTGATTAGATGAAAAAGTTTAAACAACCCCTTTTGTTCTTCTTAAATGTTCCAGTATAATTGGCCATTTTTGCAACTTTCAAAATAAAGAAATTGTAATACTGTGGAATGGACACCATATTAAAGAACTGGAATACTATAGAATGGACACCATATTAAAGAACTGGAATACTATAGAATGGACCCCATATCAAAAACTGGAATACTATAGAATGGACCCCAGATCAAAGAACTGGAATACTACAAAATGGTCACCAGATAAAAAAAAACTGGAATACTGTAGAATGGACCCAGATCAAAGAACTGGAATACTACAAAATGGACAACCAGATCAAAAAACTGGAATACTATAGAATGGACACCAGATCAAAAACTGGAATACTATAGAATGGACACCAGATCAAAGAACTGGAATACTACAAAATGGACACCAGATCAAAAGACTGGAATGCTGTAGAATGGACACCAGATCAAAGAACTGGAATACCATAGAACGGACCACAGATAAAAAATGGAATACTATAGAATGGACACCAAATCAAAAACTGGAATACTATAGAAAGAACACCAGATCAAATAACTGGAATACTATAGAAATGACACCAGATCAAAGAACTGGAAAACTGTAGAAAGAATATAAGATAAAAGAACTGGAATACTATTGAAAGAACAACTGATCAAAGAACTGGAAAACTGTAGAAAGGACACTAGATCAGAGAACTGGAATACTACGGTGGTAGGCAATTATATCAATATAATAAAGACGATTTTTTATCTTAGCTTTAATTTTCAAGAGGCTTTTTTCGAATTACAAGTTAACAAGTAAATAAAAAGAAACGTTTCTAATCGACAGCTTCTCTTTGATTCCATGTTTTTGTGTATCCAAGCTGTTTAAATGCTTGATATTAGTTAATAATTTAAATCGAAAGTCATCTCTATTTTATTGATATAATTGCCTACCACCGTATAGAAAGGACACCAGATCAAATAACTGGAAAACTGTAGAAAGGACACAAGAACAAAGAACTGGAAAACTGTAGAAAGGACACCAGATCAAAAAACTAGAAAACTGTAGAAAGGACATCAGATCAAAGAACTGACATACTATAGAAAGGACACTAGATCAAAGATATTGAATATTTTATAGAAATTAGAATACTATAGAAATGACACCAGATAAAATAACTAGAATACTATAGAAAGGACACCAGATAAAATAATTAGAATACTATAGAAAGGACACCAGATAAAATAATTAGAATACTATAGAAAGGACACCAGATAAAATAACTGGAATACTATAGAAAGGACACCAGATAAAATAACTGGAATACTATAGAAAGGACACCAGATAAAATAATTAGAATACTATAGAAAGGACACCAGTTAAAATAATTAGAATACTATAGAAAGGAAACCAGATAAAATAACTGTAATACTATAGAAAGGACACCAGATAAAATAATTAGAATACTATAGAAAGGACACCAGATAAAATAACTGGAATACTGTAGAATGGACCCCCTTCAAAGAACTGGAATACTACAAAATGGACACCAGATCAAAAAACTGGAATACTACAAAATGGGCAACAGATCAAAAAACTGGAATACTATAGAATGGACACCAGATCAAAAACTGGAATACTATAGAATGGACAGCAGATCAAAAATCTGGAATACTACAAAATGGACACCAGATCAAAAAACTGGAAGACTGTAGAATGGACACCATATTAAAGAACTGGAATACTATAGAATGGGCCCATAGTAAAGAACTGGAATACTATCGAATGGATACCAGATCAAAGAACTGGAATACTACAAAATGGACACCAGATCAAAAGACTGGAATACTGTAGAATGGACACCAGATCAAAGAACTGGAATACCATAGAACGGACCACAGATAAAAAATGGAATACTATAGAATGGACAGCAGACCAAAAACTGGAATACTATAGAAAGAACACCAGATCAAATAACTGGATACTATAGAAATGACACCAGATAAAATAACTGGAATACTATAGAAAGGACACCAGATAAAATAACTGGAATACTATAGAAAGGACACCAGATAAAATAACTGTAATACTATAGAAAGGACACCAGATAAAATAATTAAAATAAGATAGAGAGGACACCAGATAAAATAATTAGAATACTATAGAAAGGACACCAGATAAAATAATTAGAATACTATAGAAAGGACACCAGATAAAATANGAGTGAATAGTCTAACCACATCAGTGGTAAAAGAGAGTAAAACATCTGACCAGCACAGTGGTAAAAGAGAGTGAATAGTCTAACCACATCAGTGGTAAAAGAGAGTAAAACATCTGACCAGCACAGTGGTAAAAGAGAGTGAATAGTCTAACCACATCAGTGGTAAAAGAGAGTAAATAATCTGACCAGCACAGTGGTAAAAGAGAGTGAATAGTCTAAACACATCAGTGGTAAAAGAGAGTAAAACATCTGACCAGCACAGTGGTAAAAGAGAGTGAATAGTCTAACCACATCAGTGGTAAAAGAGAGTGAATTGTCTAACCACATCAGTGGTAAAAGAGGTAAATAATCTTCCAACCATGTTGGTAAAATGAATAAAATAATTTTGAAAATAAAATAGAGTGGGAATAAGTTGACCACCATGGTGGTATAAAAGAAAATAANTAAATAATCTTCCAACCATGTTGGTAAAATGAATAAAATAATTTTGAAAATAAAATAGAGTGGGAATAAGTTGACCACCATGGTGGTATAAAAGAAAGTAAATAATTAAACTAGCACAGTGGTTAAACCGCACGAATGAGAGATTTTACAATTTACCTAATATAGAGGAACATTAGTACACAGAGGGGGAAGAGAAAGAATACAACTGATGATAGCTGGTGAAGAGGGTAGTCCTGAAATTCAAAAATATTAAAAATATAAAAGATGATAATAATCATGTTAATAATAATAATGATAATTACAATTACTAATCAAAAACTGTAATACTATAAATATTATTCTAGTCATGATGATAATATAAAAAGATAGTTCAATTCCTTACAATGGAGAGTATATGATAAATATAGAAAACAAATTATATATTTCTGTTTAAATAAAAAAATTTTAATAAAAAAGAGAGTAAAATTAATTCTACTAGCGACTGATCCAATCAGGGTTCAGTCATATGTTTGGTGTCTATTCTGAGTCAATATAAATTGCATAGCGGTAACATCTATTTCATCATCCAATTAGAGATTAATCCATATATCGGCGCTATACACTTAAAAGAAATATTTACCTCTACTAAAGCTATAGTGGAAAAACGAAAGTATCTTTTATATTTTTGATCAGATTAAGGAGTCAAAGCGTACTGTTGTATATTTGATCAGATTAAGGAGTCAAAGCGTACTGTTGTATATTTGATCAGATTAAGGAGTCAAAGCGTACTGTTGTATATTTGATCAGATTAAGGAATCAAAGCGTACTGTTGTA